TTCACTTCTATGTATGTGTGTATGTAATCAGTGTGTGTAATTGCCCATAGAGACCAAAGTGGATGTTGGATCCTTTGGAGCTGAATTTATAGGCAGTGTCGACCCACTAGATTTGGGTGCTAAAAAAATTCAGATCCTCTAGAAGAGCAGTAAGTGAGCTTAACTATTGAGACGCCTATAGTCCCATATAAATACAATTTAAAATCAACATGTGTCACAGACGAGTGAATGACTCCAAAGCCCTGCTCTAGTGGAGCTACAAACAGTCCAGGGGTTCTGGGAGAAGCACAAAAGTGACAACAAAAACCCTATCTGAACTGAAAACAAAGATGCACAAATGCACATCAATATTTGAAAATGTCATGCTCAGACCACCTGAATCCAGAGACTGCACTAAGTGAATACTGAACATAGAAGCATGAACATAACTACCATCTGTGGGGCCAGTTTTAATCTGAGGTGAATATTGGAATGTCAACAAAAATGTATACTTGGTAATCAAGGGGTCTGGTTTTGGAGGAGACCTGAACGCTAGATAGGCAAGTATTTACAGATAAGTCATATAGTTCTGTGCTTCATTTTTTCATACTGCAGGAGACTACAGACAAGTTAGTATTCACATGTATTCCTTGGGAACCTTTACGTCCTTCAGATGACTCCAGAACTCCCACTGCAGCAAAACAGAAGGGTTGAGGTAACAAGAATAAGTTTTTCTCCTCCTGCTTTTTTTAATATATTTATTTTAAAACAATCTCTTCTCATTTTACATACCAATCCCAGTCCCCCCTTATTTTTATTTATTTGTTTATTTATTTATTATTTATTTATTTATTAAAGATTTCTGCCTCCTCCCCGCCACCGCCTTCCATTTCCCTCCCCCTCCCCTAATCAAGTCCTCCTCCCTAGTCAGCCCGAAGAGCAATCAGGGTTCCCTGACCTGTGGGAAGTCCAAGGACCACCCACCTCCATCCAGGTCTAGTAAGGTGAGCATCCAAACTGTCTAGGCTCCCACAAAGCCAGTATGTGCAGTAGGATCAAAACCCAGTGCCATTATTCTTGGGTTCTCAGTAGTCCTGATTGTCCGCTATGTTCAGCGAGTCCGGTTTTATTCCATGCTTTTTCAGACCCAAGGCAGCTGGCCTTGGTGAGTTCCAAATAGAACATCCCCATTGTAATAGCCAGAACCTGGAAACAACCTAGATGCCCTTCAATGGAAGAATGGATGAAGAATGTATGGGATATATACATATTAGAGTACTACTCAGCAGTAAAAAACAATGACTTCTTGAATTTTCCATGCAAATGGACAGAAATAGAAAACACTATCTTCCTGTTTTTCTTATTTGTTTATATTTTCAGTATATTCTTTAATTTTTAATATTAAATTTGAAGAAACAGATACTCCACACATGATAGATGCATATTTAAATCATTCAATAAAATTATTAAGCCCTTTTCCATCTTGAAGATAGACATTTCTATGAAAATTAACAATTATATATATTTTATATAATGCAAATACACATGTCTGCATATACCTAAGCACGTTGGTTTACATATATGTACTATTTTCTCAAATATTCTTGATGTATATATTCACAAAAATATATAATCAATAGAACTGGTCTTATTATAAACAAAAATTGTTCCTCACATAATAATAACAAAGGATAGCAGATTGAGGAATTAATTACATATACTTTTACAAACCAGGAATATAGAAAATTATTTATGTGGACAGAAACATAGGCTGAGCTGCCTTTTTAGCCAGAGTAAACTTTGAACATAAAGGCATATTAGATTTTTATTAAGAGCAAGGATTAAGATTAGGAGGAAGAATTTTTTTCCTGTCCAAATCCTGAAAGTAATTGGGTATACATAACTTTATGGAAAGAAAGCTATATGGGGCAAATTCCTTGATAAAAGTTTTGTAAAAGTAGAACAAATTCCATATATGGTCAACTCATCTTCAAGATGAGTAAAAAGCCAAAGAAGCAGCTTCAAGCCTTCATGCTGTAAAGACAATTTTGGTATTAAGCTAAAGCAACATACTCGACTTTTATAATGAATATTTGATTGAAATTGACTTAGATAAGACTAGGCATATGTCATGTCATGAATGGTGAACAGGCTTTTTAGAAAATGCATGTAGACAATTTTGAATTCATACTGTGAGTGTGTATGAGAGCTGTAGACCCAACTATCACTGCCTGAAGATAGCAACATACATGTTTGTGTGAAAAATAAAATTTCTGCATGGTTTTTGTTGTCCATGCGATTACTGTAAGGTAGGATCTGGAATCAAGCTGGATTTTGTTTAGGAATGAGTTAGGTTTTAAGGATACAATGAAAAAAAATGAAGCATACTTAAGCAAGACTCTTCATACACCTGCCATGCAAGCAGCAATGAATGCTTTCCCTAAGTCTCCCTATTTTTCCAAATTTAAAAGCTTTTTTTTATTTCTTTCACATACAACATTTCTATTGATGCATTGAAAATTTCATAAAATCTATTTTGATTATATTTATCTCCCACTTTCCCCCTAACTCCTCCTAGCTAAACTCCTAGCTCCCCATCCCCTCCCAACTTTGTGACCCTTTCTTTTAATAACCTACCAAGTCTAATTTATGATCCCATATATATTCATGGATGTAGAATCTTCCCCTGGAACACGGCTGACCTATCAGAAGGCACACCTTTAAGGAACTGACCTGTCTTCCTTCAGAAGCCATCAGTTATCAACAGCTCCTCATTTGGGGATAAAGTCCTGTGAGCTCCTTCCTTCTTTGTGTTAGAATGTTGATAGGCTTCATCTTGTTCAGATCTTATGTGATCAACCATAGCTCTTGTGAGTTCTTGAATGTAGAAAAAGCCACTGTATTTTTTTTTCTGATCCGTTCTGACCTCCGACTCTTACAATCTTTCCATTTCTTCATCTAAGATGACTCTCTGAGCCTTGGAAGATGATGAAGATGTTCTGCTTGTACTTGAGAGCGCCATTGATGCTTATTTCCCATACTTTGATAAGTTGTGAATTTCTGCATTCATTTTCTGATGAGGATTACCTATATACTAATCTATAGACACAGAGATAATAGTAGTAGGTTCACCTCCAGAGCCCATGAGCTGCCTAACCCTGAGTTCTTGGTCCAGTTTATGGTACCAGGCATGTTTCCTCCAATGTAGCAGATCTTGAATATGTTCAGAAAGTGGTATTTATGCCACTATTATACCCATGACATAGCTTGTTATGCTGGTCATTATTATACTTCACAGGTTTTTTTTAGCAATTGATGATCTACCACCACAATCATGCCAGCAACATACACAGCACCTTCCAGTATTCTGAAAGCTAGCTAACATGGAGGAACTCTCTGATCAGCATTAATTTGACTTTTTTATGCCCCATGGCAAAAAGTGTATGGTGTCTTCAACAATTTGTCTTATCAATTGTGCTCTGGTGAGAAACTTCGAGTAGTGATAATAGCCTGTATTCACACTCCTGATCAAGAGCAAGTAGCTTATTCCTGGCACTAGATTTTTCATTTGCCAGCTTATGCCTTCAGGGAGACCATTTTCTTCTCTTTAGGGGGATTCCAATTAAACTCTTTTATATGAACATATTTGTGTGTNGTAGATTTTCATATGGTGCTTTCAAACATCTTTAATGTTAGTTGTCCCTCCTCTGGAATATGAACAATCATTGTCACTTTGCTGTGCCATTTTCTTCATTTGGAAAAAAGAATAAAAGTTCAGTTCCATTCCTCTGGCACCACTAAGCTATGCATCAGAATCTAGCCTACCTAGCAACGATTTTCTTATCTACATTTATTTCTATCACTTAAAATGTTATCTTCTAAGACTTAGTGTTTTAAAATTGGAATATAAACAAGATTAAAGAGGTTTAATATTACTCAGAAAAGTGTTATTTCACATTAAAATTTTTTCTTTTGACAGGTCTCTATCATTATGTAGCCCAGGCTGGCCTGGAGCTCTCACTGCTCCAGCCTCCCACGTGCTATGATTGGAAGTGTATGCTGCCATGTGTGGCAACTGTATTCTCTTGTTTCTAAATGAAACCACAGAGAGTGAGCATCACATGGATGAGAGCTCCTTATTGCACAGATGGAAACATGACTCTCAATAGTCAAGATGTGGCTGTAGGTATTGGGAACCACTTTTTAAAAACCTGACTAGACTCTGATCGTGCTGTCCTACTACTCCATAAATATCCCAAATTTCATCTGAAATCCTGCATTTTTCCTTTAGAAATATCTAATGGATATTGTGTGAGTGAGTGAATGAGAGAGAGAGGTGAGAAAATGAGAGTGAGAGTGAGAACATGCACATATGCATGCCTCTTTCTGTAAAAATAGTTAAATAAGAGAAAAGACTTCCCCCAGATACTGAGTCTATCTTCCTAATGAGTATTATGTGGCTCCCTTGGTGTAAGTGCATCTTTTGCAGAATGTATCTTAAAACATCAGGAACTGGCTTCTGAGAGTTTGGGCATCCCTCTAGCATCACATTGCTGGAATAGGGAGTAAATAGAAGAGAAATAAGAATTAGAAAGATGTGGAAGGCGACGTTGTATCTTCTGACCATTGCCTCAACCTAACAGTTTTATTTCTCCAAATTTCCATCCAATTCTTGTCTGTAATTTATGCATTGTATACTTGCAACTGTGCATCATGTAGACTTTCAGTATGATCTTTTCTATTAGACTTTACACAATTTCTCACATAGTTAAGGACTTTGTGACTTCTTTTTAAAAGATGACATTATGCCATAAATTAATAACTTAAATTCATTTAATTATTCCTCTGTTGTAGAACGTTTGCATCATTTTCAGCTTAATTTTCAATCATTTATAAAATGTTCTGACAAAGAGATTTATAAAAACACAGCTGTCCCTCTTCTGCATTATATTTTTGGAGAAATGACTGATTACTGAGAATATTCAAAAGCATAATTTTGAATATTGATGTGTATTTTCCAGCACAGATTTTATATGAAGTCTGAAATGTATACAGTATGGTGAGTGGCTCTCTTTGGAAGAATATAAAATTGTAAGCATCCTACTTTGAGGTGAGTCCACAGTGAAAAACCATAATCTCGGCCTGGATCCAGTTTGTATTGTTAGACAGAGGCTTCTGGATATTGTAACAGTTGTACTTTATTAGTAGGAAGTGAACATTTTTTCTCTCTGAGGATTAATGAAGACTCTGTGTTGTATTTTTAATATGCCAGTTAATTCAGCCAAATTTAGAGAATCTGTTTTTGTGTATGTTCTGGTTGGGACAGCACATTTTACTATTTGTTATTACTCCGTAGCAAAATATTCCAAAGTTCACTGTTCAAAATAACAGCCTTGAGGCGGGCGGGGCACGGCGGCGGCTCAGCCCGGGTCTCTTCGGCCCAGGTCGACTCGACCACGGGCGTCTTCGGGCGGCGACCTTTGGGGTTGGCGCGGGGGCTGCGCGCGCCGCGTGGGTCCAGGGCGCGGAGTCTTACTTCCGACCCCGAATCCTGGCAGGCCAGCCCCGCCAAGAAGGCCGGGTCGGGCAGGACGAGCCGGCCACGCCGCCCTCGTCGCCGCTCAGCGAGGAGCAGCTCGTCTGTATCCAGAGGAACAAGGCCGCCGCCCTGCTCAGGCTCGCCGCTCGCAACGTGCCCGCCGGCTTCGGCGAGAGCTGGAAGAAGCACCTGAGCGGAGAGTTCGGGAAGCCGTACTTCATCAAGCTAATGGGCTTTGTTGCTGAAGAGAGAAAACATCACAAGGTCTATCCACCTCCGGAGCAGGTGTTCACGTGGACCCAGATGTGTGACATCCGAGATGTGAAGGTTATCATTCTGGGACAGGATCCTTATCACGGCCCTAATCAAGCTCACGGGCTCTGCTTCAGTGTGCAAAGACCAGTTCCACCTCCACCCAGTTTGGAAAACATTTTTAAAGAGCTGTCTACAGACATCGATGGTTTTGTTCAGCCATGGGGATTTGTCAGGGTGGGACAGACAAGGTGTCCTCCTCCTCAACGCTGTCCTCACTGTCCGCGCCCACCAGGCCAATTCCCATAAGGAGAGAGGCTGGGAGCAGTTCACTGATGCGGTTGTGTCCTGGCTAAACCAGAACCTGACTGGCCTTGTCTTCCTGCTCTGGGGCTCCTATGCTCAGAAGAAGAGCAGTGCCATAGATAGGAAGCGTCACCATGTCCAGCAGACAGCCCATCCCTCCCCAATGTTGGTGTACAGGGGATTCTTTGAATGTAGGCATTTTTCTAAAGCCAATGAACTGCTCCAGAAGTCTGGCAAGAGGCCCATCAACTGGAAGGAGCTGTGATCTGCAGTGCGGGCCACCTGTCTCCAATAGAGGCTCTGGGATGCTGCCACTGAAGCATTGGCCAGTTTAGAAGTCACTGAAAATGTCCCTGCTGTCAAGTTTCTGTGTGTGAGGACAATGGAAAGATCTCTGTAAAGCAGTCGCATGCCAGCCAGGCTGCAGAAACCACAACTTTAGCAACCAGACCTCGACTGGCACCAGGTTGGAACTCTGGGCTAGTCAGGGTGGCTTCTCTTGGTCCAGTCACGTACTTGGCCCTCTGTGCTATATTGGCTTGCGGGAGAGATTTGTACCTTTTGATCAGCTAAAAGTTTGGCACCTACTGCTGTTTACTTTTGCCTTTAGACTAGAGGTTACAAGGTGTTCTGGCTATGTTCTAAAGGCCCTTAGGTCTTTAAAGGGTGTTTTGTGATCTTAAGAAATGAGGCTAGAAACTGAGACTGTTCCCGATTACAAAGGGAGCGAGTATGTGTTTTCCTGGGCTCAGGAGTGGCCGCTGCCCATCCTGCTGCTTGTCTAGATTTTTGCCTTAAGCAAGTGGTAAGTTGAGCAAAGCAGGAAGGTTTGTTTTTGTTTTAAATGGGGGGGGGGTTCTTCTCCTGCCTCTGGAGTTGGGGTTCCCCACAGCAGATGGCCGGATGCTGGTTTGTGTATAGAGCTGGGGATCCAGCCCCAGGGTCCTGGTTTTTATGGACTGAATTCACGCAGATTATGTTTTTCTGAAACACTGCAGGATATTGTCTTTTACAAGATGGGCAGGTACATCTGTTTTTTTTTTTTTTTTTCAGTTCTTTTTTGAGAGACAATCGATTAAGTTTATACTTCAGTAGATCCAGCTGGTAAGAGAGGTGACCCTGCATGGGCAGGATAATAAAGAAAGACTGTTGAGTTAAAAAAAAAAAATAACAGCCTTATTGTGTTTGAAATTTGGTGGCCAAGACTAGATGAGGATTGGCTGTCTTGTTCTTCTGTTTGGCTTTCTAATTGGAGCTATTATTTCCATCTTCTGCAGGATACAGATGGTCTCACCTCCATGTCTGATAGTTGGAGGGGAATAAATAGAAGCCAGTATTCAGTTAAGATTGGCCATCAGATCACACTTATGAGCTTTCTCCTACATGGTGCTCTTGGGACAGTTCAATCTATTACTTGGCAGCTACTAGACAGCTGTTTCTGAGTAGGCCAAAGTTTCAAGAATCTTTGAGCAGAAGATACAGACTATTTTTTTCTGCTCTGGATTTGGAAACACCTACATTCTTTTTAACTAATATACTTTTATTTGTCTCATGAACAATGCACGTACAAAGGAAATCTCAATAAGAAAAGTAAATAATCAAAGGCCATCTGTAACCTACTACAGGCTGGTAGTGTTTCCCTGGATGTTTACAATTTGTATAAATTATCCATTTCATAACATCATGTACTAGAACTGGAAGAGAATAATATCCATGCAGAATATTAATGAGTTTTTATGAGAACAAGGAAAATAGATATGGTATCAATCTGTAACTTGCATGAAATTATTACACATACTTTTAAGAAAGTATAAAATATTTTATAATAGTAAGCCTAAATAACATCACTAGTTTATTGTTATATTTTACGTTGTTCTCTATTGTATATTTAAGTAGCTTATTTATCTTTCTGTTAAAATTTTTATGAAATTTATTTTGTGTGTGTTGGGGGTTGCACATCTACAGTGCACACATGGAAGCCAGGGGACAACTTTTGGAAGCTCTCATTTCATCATGTGTATTTTTGAAATAGAATTCAGACTGTCAGGATTGGGAACAAGCACTTTTTTATGCTAAGGTGTTCCCAGCTGAGGAAATAAAAATAACAAAATTTTTCAATAATTGTCATTATGGCAAAAACAAATGAACAAAAACTGCATAAAAGTTATGACTGCAGATAATGTTACATGGTGCCCAACATCCACTTTTTCCTTTGTGTTCTTCTGTGTATTGTAGGCTTCAGATACCCTCCAATTTACTCTTCCAATTGCATGATTTCAGTTGGATTTTGCCCAAAAGAGGTCCTGAAAAGAGACTGAGAAATTTAGAAGGGAGAAAGTGAGTCACCTGTTTTTCCTGTTTCTGAGCCTTCTTGGGTGGCAACAGAGAGCTATGAACCCCAGTGCCCATAACTCAAAAGTCTTCCTGGTACACAGTCATTAATGTTTCTGCTCAGTGGTGATGGAGGAAGGTCATTGGTTAATTATAATAAAGAAACTGCTTGGCCCTCATAGGTTAAAACATAGGTGGGAGGAGTAAACAGAACAGAATGCTGGGAGGAAGAGGAAGTGAGCTCAGAGGCCATGCTCCCCTCTCCCGGGGAGATGCAATGAAGCAAGCCACCAGGTCAGACATGCTGAATCTTTCCCAGTAAGACTGGTGCTACACAGATTACTAAAAATGGGTTAGGCAAAATATGAGAATTAGCCCGTAAGAGGCTAGAGCTAGTGGGCCAAGCAGTGTTTAAAAGAATACAGTTTCCGTGTAATTATTTCCGGTAAAGCTAGCCGGGTGGCGGGACGCAGCCCTGCCGCTCCTATTACAACACAGTGGTGCTCCCCTAACCTAACTGAGGACCTATATGCAGAGGCTGTGTATCAACTCCCATGAAGTAGAATGTCTGTTCTAGAAGCAGAAAGCTCGGCCAGGCTGTATTTCTAGATTGGCATGAATCATATCTCACTCTTGACTCTCCCAGCACCTCACCCATGTTTCCAATGCTTTTAGAGGACCAGCTTTCTTTGAGTTTCCAAGATCTCTTGAGTCACCTTTTAATAACATTAATAAGTGGCCCTAGGAATTTCCCACCACCTCCTTCCTTTTGTTTTTCATATCATGGGGATATTAGATGCTTTCTATAGTTACTAATATATCTTGATTAACTCACGAGCTGTTTTTCCTCTTTCAGACTTCCAAATACCTTTAAAACTAATTCTCTCTGTTTGAAATAGAGCACACAGTTTCTATTTTCCTTTCTGAACCTTGACAACATGGTAGTGTTGTGTTACTGCCAGTCATTGTAGTTAGTAGTGGGATGTCCATTGAAGAATACACAGATTAGTATAGTTGGTACAGCAAATGCATGACTGTATGAGCAAGCCTTTTTTAAAATATGGTTGCATAGCTTTCATGTTTCTTTATGCCATTACTCATTTATGGGCCCTGTATACAAGAGTACCAATTTTTCTTCTCTAGGAATTATGGCCTTTTCACAAAATCGAGAGCAAACATTCTTAGCAACACTACTCATTCTTTCTTGTCAATGCTACATTCAATTTTGAAGAAGTTGAAGTCACAAAAATGTATTCACTGGGTTTTCTGTCATTAGCATTTCATGTTCAGACTCTCACATCAAAATGTGGGTTATTGTTAGGGAAAGACATTGCAGTGAAAACACTTCCATTGTTCTTGATTTGGAAAATTAGAAATAGAATTCTATGAGTTGTCCCTTTGAAGCCATGAACTGTTCCAGAATTTTCATTCTTATAATTATCTGTGCAAGTATGTATAATTTAGCTGTGCAAAAATGAGAAAAAGGTAGTCACTAATTTCTTTGAATGGAAAAATTAGCAAAGAGAAATCTTTCTTCTTTTGCCTTGGCACTTACATTAATTTTCCAATTCTACAAAATTTATATTGAAAAAATTATCTAATATTATCAGATAATAATTTATTAAGTAATATCTGTATATCAAATATTATGAAAATACTTCAATGATTAAAATAATAAAATG